TGCTTCAGCTCTGCCAGCTGTGGAGATTATATTAGTTATAATGACTGGGGTTACATTTACCACAAACAAATCACATATCTGCACTGTGAAACCTATGTTTTGTCAGTCCACAAAGTTGGATAAATGAGTTCTAAATAAATTGAATGTACCATGACACACACACACACACACACACACACACACACACACACACATCTGGTTTGCTATCCTTGTGGGGACTCTCCATAGAAGTAATGGTTTTTCTACTGTACAGACCGTATATTCTATTGCCCTACACCTAAACCTACCCCTTACAGGAAACTTTCTGCATTTTTAGATTTTCAAAAAACTTAATTCTGTGTGATTTATTAGCATCTTTACCCGTGGGAACCTCAATTTAGGTCCCCACCGTGACACGAGTCCCCATGAGTCTGTGTGTATTCAGGTTTAAGTCCCCACCAGAATAAAAAACAGGTACACACACACTATATACACACATATAGAAGAGGGGGAAAAAACAAAAAGAGAGAAAAATTCTTCCATCCTTTGTCTACGTCAATGTATGGTCTAACTAACACGTTGTTTACGTAAGCCGCTCACTAGATTTTCAGACCATTACGCCCAAAATGCGGTTAGGAAGGCAGGTGTTGATGGACTATAATGGCCAAAAAAGTAAGCAACTAACTTGTTTTAAACTATGATGTCTATTGTTACAGCCCACTTTTTTAGGCACTTGTAGGGGAAGAAGAACACATGCTGGTTTTTTTTTTTTTTATAAACCACTTTTGTTTTACGTTGTTTTACGAGTGGTGAGGGAACAAAGTAAAAGTCGCATTTTAGAAGTCTCTTAAAGACTGAGCTAAAATTATTTTAAGTAAATTGTTTTACATCGAGGAACGAAAGGTACACAGCTCACTATGTTTGAGGCTATAGTCGAAACGCTGTCTGTCTATAGGAAGCTGGCTAGATTTTTGAGCAACATGAGTGCTGAATGAAGCTTGAAACGTTAAATATATCACGACTTATTCACCATAACGTTACCCAACTTATCACAGCTAAGAACAGCTTGCTGTTACAGCTAGATCCAAACACTAAACAGAAAGGTTCTTTGCACCTTGTTTCTTACCTTGAGTTTATGCAGTTCCACGACTTGCGCCATTTTCTTGAAGAGGTTTGTATTTTGAAATCTGCTTCTTCTTCTTCTTTTGGAGTTTTATGGTGGTTGGGAAACCTGCTTCTTCTTCTTCTTCTTCTTCTTCTTCTTCTTCTTTTGGGTTTATGGCGGGTTGCGAACCAACTTCAGTCTCCAGCTTTATTAATGCATCCAATGTTGAACGACCTTGTCTAAAACCATATTGATAAGGTGCTAACCCTCCCTTACTCTCTAATACATGATTCATCCTATTTACAATCATTTTTTCCATTATTTTACAAAAATTAGACGTAAGTGCTATTGGCCTGTAATTCCCAGCTATTGATGCATCTTTTCCTGGCTTGGCTACTGGTATTATTATTGGGAAACCTGCTTAATTCCTGTTTTAAAGTCTTTACGGCCAATTTTGCGCTGCAGCACCACCGGTCGGTCAGGAGACTGGGACTAACGTGCTGAGACTGCTGTGGTGTACGGGTTCTGCAGCTGGGGATTATTGGACTGTTGAGATTGTTCTTTATTACAGGTGCATCTCAATTAATTAGAATGTCGTGGAAAAGTTCATTTATTTCAGTAATTCAACTCAAATTGTGAAACTCGTGTATTAAATAAATTCA